TTGAGGCTTTTTTAACGCATTTATTAGCATCAAGTAATAGGTACATCTTCTTATTCCTGCTCAAAACGTTCCGCAATAATGCGAAGCATAATATTTTTCCCGATTTCCTTGACTTACTTACCAACATGAAAGCAACTAATCAGCGCACGGTAAGTTTACTTGCATAGTAGACAAATAGCCCTTCTTGAGTACTGAGGGATGAGATAATGGGAGGATAAGCACGCAATGATAGGTACCGCACTTTTCGAACAGTGCGTAAAATAGTCCACTTCCGCAACTGCGCTGGCGAACCCTTATACCCCTATGAGGGACTCAACTTCTCCTTTTCAATAAAATATTGTACCAATTAAATAAATTCGGCAGACATCAGGCGAGATCACCCACATGGTTGAAGAGCACTTGGAGATTTGGAAATTTTGATGATAAATGACGATGGAAATCAGATATCAATTCTGAGAACTTAACGGGTGATCAGATCTGTTTTACTCAAAACGTTTTAAAGTGTCCGATATTAATTACAGAAAAAAAAATCAAACCAATTGCAAATCCTAGCCGAGGGGACATGGTGTAGCCGACAAGCATAATTTCTCCTTCATTTTACCAACGTCGGCGACCAACCGCCTTTTTATGTTTTATCATTAATCCCATAAGAAGTTCCATAACCCAAATGGTGAGACCAAAAGATTCGGCTTTTGCCTCATCTTACCTTTTCCATATATTCACTGTTTTCTACAAATCAACCAGTCTGTCGCGGGAAAAAGCGAAGCAGCCTATCCCCTATTGGGTATCCCGTGCGCCTACTAACCCGCGGAAGCAAACAGCGTCATATCAGACTAGATATGCGTCGTGGGCTCGCTTACATACACCTAAATATTATCCCGCAAAGCTGCAAATCTAGCTATACCCACTAGGCCCTGATCTGGTGCGTAGACCTACTGGCTTCGTGCGAACACACTGGACGGCGGCCCCGCTCATTCATTATATTTAATAGTAAGACTGTCTTTAGAGGTCCTACTTGCCTTTGACTTATAATAATTACCTACTTTTGTATTTTGCAGTAGCCCGTCTTACCCTCTCTTCGTTAAATTCCGCCAGTAGAAGGTCCAGTTTCCATCAAAAGACATCAGTTGCCTGGGCAACAGGAGTTTGTGTCGATGGAGTTGAGTCTATTTAGCTCATTAAAACAACTAGAAGTGGCTTCAATTTAATATTTTTTGGACACCTTCGACTTAATTACATAGTCATTTGCGCTCTTAAACAAAGAAAAAAACGCTTAACCCCCAATTCCGTAAGACAGTTGGACGGGGGAATATATATTTAGGCGGCTTTACAATATAGTCTTGCCTATTTAAGATATCGTGAGAGTCACGGTCATGCAGTTAGCCTAGTTCAAAAAGCTCGGAAACACCAATGAGTTCTGTAGGTTGGGTATGCAAGCAATCCTATCCATTATTGAAGTGCTGTTGTCAGCCGCCTAAATAAAGAAAGAAGAAACTCTAAAAATAAACCTCTACAGGGAGGGGAGGGAGAGCATATTCCCGTGCTTATTCCTGAAGGCAGTCAACACAGCATCCCGTTTGATAATAGCATCAAACTAAAATGCACCCTGATCCCCTGGCATCACGCTCAAACGTTGGACAACTATTGCCTGTGGGAAGTGTTATAACAGTGACATCTGACGTGTGTCACTGTCGAATTACGCCCGTTGGAATCTCCGATGAAAAACACAATAAGAAAGGCGGAACTTTGGAATCCACTCGGAGGAGGGTTTATTGTGTACAAAACCCGGAGTTGCTGTCTCAGGTGGTAGTTGCCGCTGGTTGATCTTCAGCGTGCTCTTTGTCCCGCCTCGGGGGCAGTCCACGGCAATCGGGAGTGGACTGGTGGTGGCCT